ATATTTTGGCCTTTAAAGTAAAAATTTTGTTACAAAAGACATTTAAGAACTAATTTCTATTGTTACGAGGATAGTCGCTAAAAGGTCATTCCGAAAAGTTAATAACAAGGCATTTAGCGACAAAATTTTAAAAATGCCACTAATAAATAGACTTTTAGAGACAAAATAATTTGGTCTTTGAGACAAAAAAATGTGGTCCCAAAAGGATAATAATTCATCACTAATATCCAATTTTTGTTGCTAAAAATATAAGAACAACACTTTTTGCAACAAAGTTATTTGGCCCCTAAAAAATAATTTTATCTTTAAATTTTAGTCTTTAAAACCTTAATTTTTTTATAATAATAGTTATTTCATTAAATTAAATTCATATTTAAAAAATAAATAGTAAATGTGATTTTAAATATAAATTTGATTTGATGCCAGAGCTATCAATGACTAATTATCATTTTTATTTTTCATAGATATATTTTACTCATTACACCTTAAAAATAAAGGGTATGGCTTTTGTCCAGTCTGGGATCGGACTGGATCGTGTTGTTGGGCCTGTGAGGCCCAACCACGAGTCCCGTTTTGATAATCTGAACCGTTCAATGTGTAGAACTCGTCGAGTACTATGTGTCAATAAAAAATCACGTTGATTGGATATCGATAGGTATGTAATCAAATCAGTTTCGTATTAAAAAAATTGGACGGTGAACAAATTAACGGTTGACAAAAAAACTGATTTGATCATATAGCTATCGATATCCAATCAACGTAATTTTTTACAAACATATAGTACTCGATGAGTTCTACACATTGAACGGTTCAGATTATCAAAACGAGACCCGTGGTAGGCCCCCATGGGCCCAACAGTAGGGTCCAGTCCGATAGAAGCTATACCCAAAAAATAAATACTTCACATCATCAAATTGTGATCCAAAGTGGGGCCCATCAGCACACCCTTAATCTGATTTTGTGTGAGTGATAAAAAAGAATAAACAAAAGAAAAAAAGTTTCTAGGAATTTCATTTCACGAAAAATATTGGAAAAATCATGTAAATAGTCCCTATAATTTAAATAATGTGTCAATTTGTGCCTGTAGTTTTAATTTGTTTGATTTTATCCTTTAATTTAATGGATTGCGTCATTTTAGTCTAATAAATAACGGTTGTTAAGTTAATTTTACGAAAAATCAAACAATGTGTTAATTTGGTCCCTGTGTTTTTCACAATGTGTCAATTTAATCCCTGTCAAAATTGAGAAAATTGAAACTACAGGGACCAAATTGACACATCGTGTAAAGTACAGGGACCAATTGACATATTGTTTGGCCTTCCGTTAAATTAACATAACAACCGTTATTTATTGGACTAAAATGACATAATCCGTTAAATTAAGGGACAAAATCGAGCAAATTGAAACTACAAGGACCAAATTGACACATCATGTAAACTACAAGAACTATTTACATAATTTACCCAAAAATATTTATTATTATAGTTCAAAATTATAAAAATGACATTATTATATTATTTCTTATAAATTTTATTTATAAAAAAATTTATCTGTAAATTATATTCCATTTAGCACAAACGGAATTGGTGAACCAAACTGAATTTAAAATTTATATATATTATTTTATTATTTTAGCGTTTTATTAGAATTATTCTTTAAGGTTGGAATATTTAATTTTTTTTGTTATTTAAGTTGTCTATTTCGTCCATTTTCTTGTCTTATAAGAATTAAGATTGCTTGTTTTACAATAATTTTTTTTATTTTTTTAGTTGTAGTTGTTTAAGTAATTGTCATCTATTAAGGGTTCGTTTGGTAATGACTTTTTTAGCTAACTTTTTGTATTGGGACTTTTTTAGTTTTGTTTGATTTTTTGTTTTAGGATTTTTTTGATTTTTGTGAGAGAAAATGATTATAGATAAAAAGTTATATTACTTGGGGTTCCAACCTAAACCCAACCTAATTTTTTTTTTAAAGTTTGGGAAACATTTTTTTGAATTTGGTCCAGCCTTAAACAAAAATTGAAAAGGTCATATTAATAATCTGTTTGGCAAAAAAGGTTGGGGCTACAATAGCCACAAAAGACAGAATAGGCTATTTTAGCCATAACAAACAAAACATCACATCCAATCCATAATCATTATATTCTTCTCTCACAAAAAAAGTCAAAAAAGCCAAAAAGCTAAAAAGCCTTTCCCAAACCAAATTTTTTAGCCCAAGCTAAAATAACCAAAAAAACCAAAAAGCCAACCAACTTCCCAAACGGAGGCTAAATTTGTGAAAGAATTTGGGTGAAGATACAAAATAACCCGAGTAACTTTGAAACCCAAAAACTCTTTACCAAACAAATTTTCTACACTCAAATCATAATTTTACAACACACAAATTCAAAATACAATTCATACTCTCAAATCACATTTACAAAACACAACCAAACGCAACCTCATTTTCTCACTCAAAAATTGTAAAAATAATCATAGTGACATATCGGTTATTCATTTCTTATCTCTCTTCTTTCCATCTCTCTTACATTATATAAATTATTTATTTTAATATAATTAATGATTTTATAAAGAAAATGTTTGTATAGTCTAATGTCAACAAATTAATTAACCTAGTTGCACAAAAAAACAAAACAAAAGAAAAAAAAAAAAACTTAAATTTATGTACAATTCGGGCAGTTTTGGGCTTTGTTTAGAGAAGCTTTTGAAATATGATTTCACCCCTTTCCCTGAACCCTCTGTTTGGATAGAGTGTTCAAAGTCATCCTCCCGGTCGTCCTGTTGGTTGACTGGTACAGTGCGATTTTTTTTTTTTTTTATTTTTGGACAATTAGCACCTGTAATTTTTTATATATTAAATAAAAAATATTTTTTAAATTTTTTTAAATTTTTTATGAGTTTCAAATCGAATTTTGGGTTATGTGTTTGGTTATGAAATGTAAGTTTTTGAATCAAATATCATATGTCACATCAATTATTCCTAACTCTTTTCAAAATTCATAACCAAACAAATTTTTCACACTCAAATCATAATTTTAAAACTTACAAAATCAAAATACAACTCTATTCTCAAATCATAATTCTAAAATTCTACCAAATGCAATGCAATTTATGAGCATTAAAGTGATATCCACTTGCCAACTTAAATGCCGGGCCTCCCCTCATTTTAATGGGTTTCATGAATGCAATTTATGAACCCTCTTAACTTTACACACCTTGCATGACTCTCTTGCAATCCAATGTTGGGAATTTGCCTATCCTACCTACTCTTCACTGTCTCTCCCTCTCTCTTCCAAGTGTTTTCTCGATCTAGGTTGGAAAATAAAATTTTGATATAGAATTTTTCATTAAAATCTTATAGAAGTGACATTTTTATAGTTAAATATTATTTTAATCAAAATGTTATTGTTTTACAATTTTACTATAAAATTATTTATTAGAATAATGTGTCAATTATTAAGGTATTGTGAATCTTAATAAGTACTGATCACTAATCACTTGACCTCAGATATTTTGAAGTATCCACACTCATGTGTCGCTGCTCTTTTTTTTGTGTATTTATAGTTAAGGAGAAACGTTTATCTTTGTATCATGTAATTCTTTGATTATAGTAAAGTCATAGTAGTTGTTGATATAGTTTGGTTTTGTAATAAACCACGTAAATCATTATATTTTGTGTATATGTTTGGTTTTTCATTTTTTAATCTTTTTCCTATTAATGTTTTGTGTCTTACCGATATGATTAAATATATCAATTTCTAACCACGGTATTTTTTATATTAAGAAACATCTAAATGAGTTTTTGTTCTAAAGTGAAATGACCACAACTTTGTCACATTATGTATATATATATATAATTTCTTTTATATGTATTTTTTGTTTAGCATTATTCCTATTTTAATAGACACGTTTTATATACAAATTGTTTACAATTTTTCTGTCAGTATATATTACTTGGGTTGGTAGGGTTTTCATCTCTTCTTTCTTCTGACCCTCATCATATAATTTAGAGGGAGGGGGAGATAGGAAGATGAAAAAACTTATGCAACAAGAAGTGGCATATGATCACAAACAAAATGATGATGATGATGATGATGAACTAATTCTAAAGAACAACAGCCAACAGTTTGTGATAATGGAAGTACCTGAGTTTTCTTTGTCTCAAACACAGCCTGATCAGCTTATTTCTGAATACTCCTCCAGTCTTTGTAGAAAGAGAAAGTCCCAGTCAGATCAAACTAGTGTTGATCTTCATCTTCAAGATCCCTTGCCATTGGATTGGGAGCAATGCCTTGATCTTCAAGTATTTCTCCCCCTCTCTCTATGTATATATCTATTCTAATCATCAAGAACATATATGTATGTATATATTATCTATGTCCTTTATTTCTTATGACTTTTACATCAAGGGATGAGCTTTTCTCCAGTTTGAGTATTAAAACTGAACGTTCAGCCTGAGTTTCGAATATTCGTTAAGTTGTTATTTTTTTAATAACTTAATTATTTAAATTTTATCAACCTATTTGCAGCCCCAATATTAGATCCAACTAACAAATTCAACCCAATATTTAATTTAGATATAAAGGTTGAACATTTGATTTTTTTTAAAAAAAATACTGAGATGGCAAAATATGAACACTAGAACAAAATGTTGTTTCCTACATGAAAAAACAAAATTTTGTTTTTGTTGTTAATGTTTTAAATGTGTTTATATTCTTTGAAATATTTTATGTATACAATATATAAGTGTATCATATTAATGAGGTTTGCATGAAAATGTCATCTTCTATCAAGTATTATATTAGTATACTGCTCATCAATTTCTAACAACGGCATTTTTTATATTAAGAAACATCTAAATGAGTTTTTGTTCTAAAGTGAAATGACCACAACTTTGTCACATTATGTATATATATATATAATTTCTTTTATATGTATTTTTTGTTTAGCATTACTCCTATTTTAATAGACACGTTTTATATACAAATTGTTTACAATTTTTCTGTCAGTATATATTACTTGGGTTGGTAGGGTTTTCATCTCTTCTTTCTTCTGACCCTCATCATATAATTTAGAGGGAGGGGGAGATAGGAAGATGAAAAAACTTATGCAACAAGAAGTGGCATATGATCACAAACAAAATGATGATGATGATGATGATGAACTAATTCTAAAGAACAACAGCCAACAGTTTGTAAGGATTACGGAAGTACCTGAGCTTTCTTTGTCTCAAACACAGCCTGATCAGCTTATTTCTGAATACTCCTCCAGTCTTTGTAGAAAGAGAAAGTCCCAGTCAGATCAAACTAGTGTTGATCTTCATCTTCAAGATCCCTTGCCATTGGATTGGGAGCAATGCCTTGATCTTCAAGTATTTCTCCCCCTCTCTCTATGTGTATATATATTCTAATCATCAAGAACATATATGTATGTATATATTATCTATGTCCTTTATTTCTTATGACTTTTACATCAAGGGATGAGCTTTTCTCCAGTTCGAGTATTAGAACTGAACGTTCAGCCTGAGTTTCGAATATTCGTTAAGTTGTTATTTTTTTAATAACTTAATTATTTAAATTTTGTCAACCTATTTGCAACCCCAATATTAGATCCAACTAACAAATTCAACCCAATATTTAATATAGATATAAAGGTTGAACATTTGATTTTTTTTTAAAAAAAGTACTGAGATGGCAAAATATGAACACTAGAACAAAATGTTGTTTCCTACATGAAAAAACAAAATTTTGTTTTTGTTGTTAATGTTTTAAATGTGCTTATATTCTTTGAAATATTTTATGTATACAATATATAAGTGTATCATATTAATGAGCTTTGCATGAAAATGTCATCTTCTATCAAGAATTATATTAGTATACTGCTCATATATAGGATTTTGTAACTTTTTTATTGAAGTGTGTCATAAAAAATGTATAATGATTTTAAATTTTATTAATCAATATCTAAAGCTTAATCGATTATTAGGCTATTTAGTCTGTCACTTAAGACCTACCAAGAACACCTTGAAAAAGTCTTATTGGCAAAAACTTCCAATTTTTTGAAGCTCAATTAGAGAAGATCTGATTTTGGCTTTCTCTAACTACAATAGTGGCTTCTTAAGCTTCTTAAGCTACAGTCACTTCTCATGTTTAGGGAGCATTGGTGTCTTGAAATCTTGCTTCTCTCTATGTCCAATGAATTTTCTTTTTTCTCTATTTTAAAAAAAAAAAGGATTTATATAGAGGGGAGGATGTGGCTCAAAACCAACAGTGTGCTTATATACAAACTTTCAAAATTGGATTGCAATATATAGTTTTGCTTTCTAGAAATTAATAGGGGTTTTCCAAAATGTTCATATGTCTTCCAAACTCTTTACTGTAAAAAAGAAATCTTTACAATTTAAATTAAAAATAAAAAGCTGAATATTTTAATAGAATAGAGAAAGAATATGGATGGAGTACTGTTGGAGGTAGTTAAAAAAAGTGATTTCCTATAATAGGAAATCAACTTTTTGGTTAAATTTTAAGGGAAAATTAGGGATAGCTGTTGGAGATGCTATAATAACCATTTGATTTTTGATGGGTATTGTTGCTGCAGTCAGGAAGAATGTACTATCTAAACAGAAAAAGCTTGAAGAAGAGTTGGGAGAGGCCTAAGGAGCAAAAGCTAGACCTTGAGCTCAACATCTCAAGCTTTTCTCAACAATGCAATGCCTCAGAAAAGCTTCAAGGCTCAAAGAAGCTCCAATCTTCAAGAACTAGCACTAGCACTAGTAGTAGTAGTAGTAGTAACATGGTTGCTTTGGCTTGTTTGAATTGTCATCTACTTGTTATACTCTCTAAATTATCTCCATCCTGCCCCAACTGCAAGTATGTCCACTTGCTACCAATCCAACAACCACCACCACCATCTAAAGTCGCAGCCACTGTTGTCAAGTCGTTGGACACCTTAAGCCTCTTGAACTAATTGAATCGAGGTGCCAACGCATGTCATAACCAAAATCCCCACCCAAAAAGAGGAGGTGGAAGCACTAGATAGTTGATAAGAATCAACTCTTTGGTATTACCATGCTATGTTTGCTTTTGGATGATGTATCTGAATAAGTGACTAAAAATACAATAGTTCTCTTTTTTTACTTGATATAGATTCCCATCTCGAGGTGTAAAATAGGCCCAACTGTTCTTCATGTTGGATTGGTCATGGTTCGGTTTCAATCCGTGTCAGAGTTATGTCATGCAAATTGAGCTAGTTTGTGCCTTATGCAATGTCATGCCCAATCATGCCAACATTTATAGTCTCTAAAATATGCAATTTGTGTCATTTTAGTTTTTATTGTTTAAATTATGTCAATTTAGTCCCCAATATATATTTCAATTTGGTCCCCAAACACAACATCAATAAATACCATTAAAGACAGGAGTAAGGAGATGGGAGCTCTACCTGTCTCAACCCTTAACTGTCATGGGTTCAACATTCCATCTGATAGCAGAATTCACAGTGGCAACACTGTTATAGGCTCAATCTAGCTTTCACTAAAATTTAATTCTTACAGAGTGTTGTTAACGAAGTTCCAAGATACCCTATCATATGTTTTTTCAATGTCAATTTTTATGAACATGTGTCCCCAAATTTACCTTTTTTATTATCTCCTGAGTCATGATCAAATCATCATTAGTTCTCCTACCAGGCACAAGACTTTTGATCAGGGCTTATGATAACATCAAGCATAGGTCTAATTCTATTAACCGTGATTTTGCTAAGAATCTGTTAAATTACATTACAGAGGCTAATAGGCCTAAATTGTTGATTATTAAAGATTGATTTCAGAAAATAATCTTTTTCTCCAAGAAAAACTATTTTCAATAATCTGTGATAACCTCGTTCTCTAAATTAAAGAGCCTCACTGTGTTATTACTTTTCAGCCTTCTACTACCTTATGGATTTCACAACATAACACATCACACAACTAATATTTTTAACAAGACCATTCTTTCATTGGAGTAAAGGAGCAAGGAGGGAAAAAAATACAGGCCAAGTGTTTTTAGAAACATTCGGAGAAAGTCCTTATGGGGGGTGAAAAAAGGTTCACATATGTATACAGAGAAAGAGTGAAATAAACCTAGCACGCTTGGAGGCGAATTGGAAGTCCTTTTTCAGGAATTGGCAACATGGTGCCCAAAATTTTCTCATTGGGAAATAGTACCTCCCATTTAAACTTCTTAACCACATTGTGGACGAAAGCGAGCACAACTAATCGTGAATACTCTTTCTCGTAGCACATTCTAGGTCCACCTCCAAACGGCACGTATGTGAATGGAGGAGGTCCATCACCATCAATGAACCGAGAAGGGTCAAATTTTTCTGGTTCTCTGAAGTACTCTGGATTTTTTTGTGTTGTAGTTACTGTCCAAAATACCTGTAAGAAATAAAGCTAATTAAATAAGTTAACAGATTACTCACAACAAAAACAAAAAATCAGATGCACAACTTTATTTGAGATTGAGAGATGTTGGTTGACAATGATAATATACCTTCCAACCCTTTGGAATAGTGTAACCAGCATAAGTGAAGTCAGTTAGAGCCACTCTAAAATTTCCTTGAACTGGAGGAGTAAACCTCATCACTTCACAGATTACAGCCCATGAATACTTCATTTTCTGCATGTCATCCCAGCTTAAATACTCTCCAGCCTGTTTCCCCTTTGATATCTCCAATTGCTCTGAATTTCACCCCAAAAAAAAAAAAAAAAAAAAAAAAAAAAATCCCATTATTTTTGGATATGTGAATTTTGGTGATGGTGATAGTAGTAGCAGCGATTGAAAGACTTGGTTTGTCTCGTTAGATTCAAAAACGTTTTCAACTTTTAAACGTGGAAAACGACTTCTTCTCAAATTCAATCATTTCTCGTTGACCACGTAAAACATATTATATTAGTTTTTGTTTTCTCTTCTACCCCGACCCTATAAAATGCATATAATTTTTTTCAAAAATTGTTTGCTGCCAAAATAACCAGAGTTTAATTAGTTAGCAGAAGGAAGCTGAAGGTGGGGTGAAGTTAATTAGAGAAATAAAAGGAGTTGCTATTGCTATGCTAGATGCTTGATTTTAAATAACAGTATCACGATATATGTTTCAGTATGAAAGATATGACACGCTCAAAAATCAGTCAATATTGGACAATATCAGCCGATATATCAATGAATAATTGTATCGTTAGCATGTTTTGTTACCTGATAGGATCTTATGATAGATGTCGGGTCTCTCTCCAACATATTTCATGAAGTAAGTTATGGCAGTTGAAACAGTCCCATATCCAGCCACAATCAATCCCATAATTTTATCACCAATCTCTGCCTCTGCCTCACTCCCATCCTCACAGCTGGCTGCAATCATATGTGACAGTAGGTCTTCTGCTTTTGGTGCTCCTCCTTCCTTAGCAGCCGCCATTTCAGCTTTCTTCTCCTGAATTATCCCCGAAAGCTCCTTCCGAATCACATCTGCAGCTTTACAAGCATAATAAAACGTCGTCCCGGGAAAATCCAATGGCATAGAATGCATCCCCAATGTGACTTGATCAAAATACCCAACAAGCCTCGCGATACGCTCTGCACTAATCTCCATTCCCAAAAAGTATCGACAAGCGAGCGTCAAGGTTATATTCCTCGAAAAGGGATAAGCCTTCACCACCTCTACTTCATTTAACTCGGCCTTGATTTTTTGCTGGATGATTGAATCCATAGCTGCCACATAATGGATCAACGCGTCGGTTTTGAACACGCCAGGGCCGCGTACTAGTTTTAAGTCCTTGTCGAGGGAGGCTCCTTCTTCGGCGTGGGATTTTTTGCGGGATGATGAAGAGAGGAAGAGCTTTTCCATGGCTTTTGGGTGGAATTGAGAGAAGAGTTTGTGGTCATTGGAGAAGAGGAATTTGTGACCGTTGGGACCGCATATCACAGCGATTTTTTCGTTGAAAAACTTGGTTTTGAAGATTTCAGGAGAGTATTTTGTCATTCTGTCAGTCACAAATTTCTCAGGATTGTAGAAGAATTTCATGGTTTCACCAATAATCGGCCATCCATAGCTACCTGGTGGAAGTGGCAGCCTTGTGTCATTGGAATTGGATTTGAAAGCAAAGATGAAGCAGAGTGTAAGAATGATAACAAGAAGAGCCACACAAAGAGACAGTGAGATGGCCTCCATGAAGGTGAGTTTGGCAGACAAGTGACCAGAAAGTTTAGTTATTATAGACTCAGTAGTTTTGTATGGACATAAACCGATTACAAAATAGATGAACACTCCCAACAATGCGTGGATCCCACCTCTTGTGAGTATTCTGTGATCTATTTCTGTACAAATATCTTTCTTCTTTGTAGATTCATCCCGTTTGGTAATATCATTTTTTAGTTTAAAAGTAAAAAAATTATTAAAAAAATTAAAAAGTCAATAATTTGTATTAAATATAAATCAAAGATTCTCTTTTCTTTTTATTTTTTATACATCTATTCATAAAAAATCAAAAAATTACATCATATTTTAACTAAAATACTAATTTTTTTTTACACCATATTTTAACTAAAAAAATATGTTCTCGAAACCTAATTTTGCAGTTAAATCAAATAGAGGCAGCTTGCCTCCTGTCCTTAATTGAATTGTACGGTGATGTTCGATCCATGGTAGCCCACTATAGATCTTGTTTTGATAATCCGAACCGTTCAATGTGTAGAACTCGTCGAGTACTATATACCTGTAAAAAATTATATTGATCGGATATCGATAGCTATCTCATCTTACCAGTTTTTTGTCAACCGTTAATTTATTCACCGTCAATTTTTTTTTATACAAAACTGATTTGATTACATAATTATCGATATCCAATCAACATGATTTTTTATAAACATATAATACTCAATAACTTCTACATATTGAACGGTTCAAGTTATCAAAATAAGACTCGTGATAAACCTCCACAGACTGAACAATACCTTTCAATCTGACTAAGAAATGGAGGCAAACTGCTCCCAATCAAATACTACTACTCCGTTAGCTAGTAGCCCATCAAAATTGAATATTGATGCGACTGTTATTATTATATTTTGGAAAAATTAATATTTTGAAATTTTGAAAATGACAACTGTCTAGTTCATTCTCATCATGTAAAATTGTGGCATTATCAATGGCTTCCAAGGTCCAAGATTGACTATATTTATATGAAATTTTAACACAAAAATTATGTTTATATAATATTTTTATATATATAATGAAAATTTTCAAATAGTAGTGTTAGTTCAATTGTCCAAAAGTCTAAAATGATAATGCTGCCAGAGAATCAAAACAACCGTCTGGGTGTCTGGTCTGCTAGCATCACTACTTGCCTTCTTTGACTATATATATTATATTACATTACCTATAATAAAAATAAATAAATAAATAAAACGAGAAATAAAATAAAATTATAGGTAAGTTGAATTGGGTTTTTCTCATGTCAGATTTGTAATTATGATATAATTATATTAGATATTTTAAAGTTTTAATTCAAATAACACTTGATCTTCTTTTTATTAATAATTTGCTAATCATACGAACAAAAATGTAATATTATTATTTCTTTTATATTGAAATGTATATGTTTTCTTATATATTCTTATATTTTCAAACCATCTGCATTGATTCTGGTCATCTCTTTAACTTCATCAAAAAATAAATTAATATAATTATATTAAAATTGTAGACTTTATTATATTTTTTTTAATTTCAAAAGCCAATAATGTAAATTACCCACATTAAAATAGTCGAGTCAAAACTCGATCAAAATTAAATTCCAACATGATAATCTTGTTGCCAAGAGAATCTATTTGTCTAGTTGCCTTGTTTGACTGATGAAAATTTACAAATACGTAATGGTTGCCAAAGCTTGACCAAAATTTTCCAAAAAGACTGGTCCTGCGGGAAGCGAGCTGTGATTCTGAGCATCTCGGATAGCTAAAAAAGATTTGTTACGTACTTTAGTTAATGTAACACTAATTTTAGGCTTTTATTGGGCTAGCTATTTTACTATCTTACCTTTTGGTTGGTCATAATTGAAGAGGCCTAGAGGTTCTACAAACAAATATTTTGTATATGTGTTGAATTTTTGTATATGTATGTCTTAGATGTGATATTTTATATATTTTATATATGTATATGCATATATAACAATTTTGTATATTCTTTTAATTCTGTTTGATGAATTACGGAATAACTTATTTTGTATTTTGTATTTTTTTTTTTTTTTTGGTCGTCATTCTACAAGTTTTATATGTTTGTATGGGAAAATTTATTATTATTGCAAATTTACATTAGTAAAATATCAGCAATTAGTATTTTTTGTTTTAAAAATTAGTTAACTTAGTTTGAATGATTAGCTAAAATAAAGAGTGTGGTTGGAGAACACAATAACTAAAATAATTAGGTAAAATAAAGAGTACTTTTTTCGTACTTTAGTTAATGAAAAGTGGAGAGTGTGGTTGGAGTTACATCATTAATTGGCAATGAGAGACTAATTTGTATAGCTAAATTGGGCAAAGCTAAGTGGAAGTGGACTTTAAGATTTGGGTCGCGTTGGCGGACCGCATTGTGTTCTGGAGGTAGCTGAGTTTGACCGAACTAGTGATGCCCACATTCTTAGATCGAGCTATTTCCTAGAGGTAGTCAAAGGTTTAACTGGACTATATGGGAAGATGATCAAAGCCTACTGGAAGCAAGGCTTTGACCGGACAAGGAGGAGAGCCGCACAATGTCAGCATGGTGGTATGTCATGCAAGGTTTGCACAGTGCTGTGTGTTGCACGACTAAGTCAATGGCGGACAAAGTAAAGTAATTTAGTTGCTCGACTAGAAGCCATGCAAAGAGTTGTGTCATTTCACTTGGCTTATAGTGAAGAGGGTGTTAAAGGATAAGCATTATCCTTTAAGAATGTGATTCCTAAAAAGACTCTACAAAAGAGAGTTAGAGTCATACTAAGATTGTGCCATGCGGAACTTACAAAAGCTCAAGCCAAACCCTAATCTAGGTATTGCAATTAGTACTCCCGAATTCACAGAGCTTTTATCTCCTCAGTCTACTTGCTAACTTAGGCATCAGAGGGATTTTCGGCACACACCTATTGGCCAGCTCACATTTGTGATTTTAGATGTTACGACGGCGTTTGGAAGAATGCAAGCTTGATCAACAGAATTATACAAGTAAAGATTATTTCATGCTCGTACAAGTAAGTATAATAAATTTTTTTTAATTTAAAATAATTATAAATTTATATTCTTATTTCATAACCATCAGATATATAATAAAGCTTATTCATTACAAACATATAATAGAGATGATCAAAGACTGCCTGGACAAGGATTCCCTTCAGTTGAGAAAATTAATGAAAAATGTTAGAAACTCCAAAAGTTTTATCAAATATTCTATCAAATGCCTCACAGGATTTCGGGTAGCTGTTGTGCGGGGGTGCACAGCATCCACTATTGTGTATCCAGCATTTTGATAATCCCAATCGTTCACATTTTAGAATGCATTAAGTAGAACATATTTGCAAAAAATCGAGTTAATCGAATATGGTTTACCTATTTATCCACTCACATTTGTATCTACAAAAATAAATAACAATTGCGATTTAAAGTATTAAAATGAATACAAATGTGAGTGGATGAAAGGGTAAACAATATCTGATTAACTTGATTTTTTGCAAGTATGTTCTACTTGATATATTCTAAAATGTGAACGGTTCAAATTATCGAAATAGACCCCGAAATGGACTCATTTGGGTGCACAATAGTGGCTGCTATGCACCCCCGCACAACAGCCACCCAAATCCCAAGTAGAACATAGAAACAAATCAAGTTAATCGAACATCTTTCACCTTTTCATCCACTAACATTTGTATTCATTTTAATACTTTAAATCACAATTGTTATTTGTTTTTGTAGATACAAATGTGAGTAGATGAATGGGTAAACGATATCCGATTAACTTGATTTTTTGCAAGTATGTTCTGCTTGATGTATTCTAAAATGTGAACGGTTTGGATTATCGAAATGGGCCCCAAAATGGGTCCATTTGGCTGCGCAACAGTGGCTGCTATGCACCCCTGCACAGCAGCCACCCCAAATCCGTTCTACTTGAAATATTTTAAAATATGAACGGTTCAGATTATCGAAATGGCCCCGAAATAGGCCCATTTGGCTACACAACAGTGGCTGTTGTGCACCCAAATCATGTCTCACATAAGTGTGGACCTACGTCATGTGGGTCCCATGGGAGTCCCCTATTCATATAAGACATTTGGTAGAATATTTGGTAAAATTTTGGGCGTCTAGCATTGCTCAAAATTAATTGGAGGTGTTGTTGAGCTTTTGTGGGTCCATCATGGAGCCCACATTAGTAATCTAAACAATTCATATCGAAGGGCTCATCGAAAAGACCGTGTTTGCAAAAAAATTACATTAATTAGAATACTTTTTAGATGCATTATTATATTCCATTTGTCTTCAAAATAATAAATAACCTAGGATCAAAATTATAATTGTTGCCAATTTTTTTTTTTTATAACAAATGTGATCTAAGCAACAATCTAAGTTTCCGCAAGAATTAGCTTCTTAGGACACTGTCGATATGAAAAAAATTTGGATCATTGAGATAAGTCCCATGATAAGCCAATGGAGATCCAACAACACCTCCGATTGATTTTCTCTAGGGGAGGTAAGTCAATCCTTATTTGTTTATTCACATATTTCATTTCCTTTTTCTAAACTTTCTATACTCAACCCATCAGGTAGCACAAAAATTAAGGCACGACCTTTGAAAGAAGTCGTAAATTCAAATTTTTTGAATTTGATTCTTCTCCTATTACTTGGATTAAACTCCGATATTTATAATTTATAATTAATTAAAAATATTTAGAATTTATATGCGTTAAAAAAAAATTTAGGAAAATTTAGTCAAAATCTCCTCGTAATAAAATTTTAATACATTAAGGATAAGCACAAAAAAAATTTCTTGAAAAATTCAACAAATATCACTATTATCAAAATATTAAACTTTAAAATAATATAACTTTTGAAGTAAATGTTGGTTTTTAATAAAATTAACATTTTTAGAATTCTCTCATTAAGATCTATCAAATAAGATCTATATTGACTATGAAATTTTTTTTTTTTTTTTTACTCTGTTTGATAATTACTCTATTTGACAGTAATTTTGATTCACAGTAACATATTATTCTAAC